TCTGGTGGGTAGGAAGAGGAAGCCAGAAAGAGGCTGACTTCCACATTCTCTTCTGAGGCCCTGCTTCCTGTGACACCCAGACACTCTCCAGTCCACCTCTTTAAGGGTCCACAACGCCTCCACACCTCAAACCTAGGAGCAGCCCCCAACACATGAACCTTTCGGGAGAACAGATTTAAACCATACTCAAACCACACCAGGCACTTCTCACATTACCCATTTCCTCCAAAGGCATTCTCATCAGTGTTGATCCAACCATGCTTTCTACTAAGAAATACAGAACTTATAGCAAGTACCCACATCCATCCATGCCATGATTGCACATGCTACTAAGAAAGTCTCTGGAAATAATGTGAAGACTCCAAACAGCAGGTTTAATTACTGATTTTATCTTTTAATTTAAAACTGGTGGAGCTTTGGGTCCTGCAGTGTTGAGTCCCTGCATCTGTTCTTCATTCATCAAACGTTTATTGGAACCTTCTGATACCTGGAAGGGAAATCTAAATTCGTGACGGCAGCTGCACTCCTGGAATGGTGCTGGCATGACTCTGAGAATTGGGGGCTGGAAAGGCAAAGGTAGATGCAAATTTCAGAATCAAAATACCGTGGAATATATTCCATATTCTCTGTAGTCAAGGTTTCTTTGTTGATTTTGCATTCTAAAACCTGAATATAAGAAAGGGAATAATCTGGGGAGAGGAAGAACATGGAGACAGAAAAGTGGGGCGCAAGGAAAGGATGTGTAACAGATGCATAAAAAGTGCCAACAAGGAGCCCATTGCTTGTATGGCAACCTATACTGGTCAGTTTTTATGATCAATTAAAACACAGAGTCACCTGGGGAGGGGAAACCCCAAATGAAGAGTGGCTTCGTCAGACTGGCCTGTAGCCATATCTGAAAGGAATTGTCTTGATTGATGATTGATGTGGGAGGGCTCAGCCTACTGAGTACTAGACAGATGGGACATAGGTGGCATTCTTTATTTATTAAAACAAATGATATACCACTATATTTTCCCTTTTTGTCTAAAATTAAAAAAGGCTATAACTAATATAAAAATTATATACAATAAAATCAATAACTATATGCAACATATGCAGGCAATGAGTATATCAATAATGTCTAATTCATTTGTATTTGACAAATTCAGAAAAAATACTACGTTATCTATCCTATCTTGATGAGTCCAAAAGGTTGTACCTAACTCGCTTTCTATTCTAATTTGCATTATCAGATTCTCTTTCAATGTCACTTCTTTAGTGAGTTCCTTTTCTGAGTCTGGTAAAAAAGGAAAACTATAACTATCTAGTCTTCAACTCCCTCAGAGACCCAGGAAGGAAATATTAACTGAGTAAGCAGAAAGTGCAAGCAAGTGACTTCCAAAAAAATGTGTGAAATGACAGAAACAGCTGGCTGCCTGGACAGTCACCCAAAGTTCCTCTGCAACAATAAGCCTTCCATCTTCAACGTAAGCAATGGTAGAAATTCACTTGCCTAGCCAGATGGGCATGTCTGGCGTAAGAAAACTAACAGAGAGCAACAGAGAGAACAATCCAGCAAGCAGCTGTGGTGGATTGAATGAAAACGCCCCATAGGCTCATATTCAAGTGATTGATCCCTAGGGGTGGAACTGATTTGGAAGGATTAGGAGGTGTGGCTTTTTGGAGGAGGTGTGTTACTCAGGGGATGGGCTTTGAGGTCTAATTAGTCCCAATTAATTCTCATTCTCTCCCTCCCTCCCTTCCTGCCTCCTTGCCCCTCTCTGCCCCCTGGCCTATGGATCAGATGTAAGCTCTCAGCTGCTGCTCCAGCACCATACCTGCCTGGTGCCATGCTCCCCACCATGATGGTGATGGACTAACCCTCTGAAACTGTAAGCCTCCAATTAAATGCTTCCTATGGTCATGGTGTCTCTTCACAGCAATAGAAGTTACTAGAATGGCACCTCTCATCCATGGGTTCTGCCGTTGCTCCTGCTGGAGTTCTTGCCCTGGCTCCCCTCAGTGGGGGACTGTGACATGACATAAGCCAAAGCCTTTCCTCTCCAAGCTGCTTTTGACCAGGGGTTTACCACAGCAACAGAAAACCAGACGTAGAAATCTAACCTTTGAAAACACTGAAGAGCCCCATTCCTCCCACCTTATTGCAACAAACAATCCCTCCACCAGTGTCCCCTCAGAGTCAGCACTCCTCGGGTTCTAGTCCAGCCCAAGTCTCCACACCTCAGGAAAAGGGTGCGTGGGCAGGGATGCTCTTAGTGTGGCTGTGATCGCATGGCTGCTCTGGCCCTCCAGTGCTCATGATTGAGACAAAAATGAGCCATGTGGACGGCCGTGAGTTTTCTCGGGGGTCCACAGCATATCTCAAATAGGAATCCGTAAATTCAAGTTTTCTTAACTGTATTATGCTTTAGTTATAAATTTCATATTTCAAAATTATACTCAATAGAATTGTTTTTTAAACATAAAATATTCTTATTAAAGTCTCATATGAAACTCAGTATATATTCTCAGTCCCACTTCCTCTTCCTACTGGCTCTTTCCCAGTTCCTCTTTTGACTAGTAGCTAAAGACCACATGATTAGTTCCAGGCAGTAACATGAAGGTTGTTGTAGAATATTATTTTAAGGTGTATTACTTTTGTTTATGCTCTGGCACATTTGTTTAATAATGCAAAAAAAAAGTGTTTGATTAAATAAAATTCACCTGCAGTCAGGAGGCTGCGGCCCATCTAACTGACCGGAAGTTGTAGGGAGGAGCCAGATGGAGAAGGGCTTATAAGGAGGGACGAGGAGAAGCATTAAAACATTTAAGGGGGGTGGTTAGTGGGGACTTTTATGTCAAGCATAGAACCCACCCTGACATCCCAAATGAAAACCACTCCATTGAATTCTTAACTTTAAAAAAATTATTTTTACAAAATTGAAAACACTCTAATACTCTTGCTTCAGGAAACTTCTGACATACTAATAGTATTGTCTTAGCAGTAGCAGAGAAAAATGCGTGAACTCAGACTCGTAGAAGGTGAATCAAGAGTTCATCCAAAACGGATGCCCCCTGGGCACTAGAACTTCTTAAGAGACTGGAGGAGGTGAGCTAGGAGAGCTGCTTGATACTCAGCCTAGCTGGGGAGCAGGATTTGACCTCAACCTTTGAACCCTGAGATCTTCGGAGGGACAAAGGTTTAGATAAATTCCCTCAGTAACTGAGAGTAGAGCCTGAGAGAGCAGAATTTCCCCAGGCTGTGGCTCTGGCAGCCTAACCTGCTGGTGGGGGTGGAGCTGCAATTACTGAGCTCTAGCTTAAAAGGCAGCAGCAATTAACAAAGGGAACAGAGGATAGAAATGGCCGTCTCTCTTCCCGCCCATGCTTATTCTTTCCCTCCAGTGGAGACTGCAGAAGCCATGTCTGAGTGTGGTGCAGGCACTGGTGAGGGGAAATAAAGAAATAAATAGAAATGGATGCATGCTGCTTCCCACTTGGAGAAGGGACCCAGATTTCAGGACCTTCCTTCTAACACAAACTAGGAATAGACTTTTATTAGGTTTAGTCACAGATGGTGGATGATTGGACATGGCTTCTCATTACGGGGACATCCCCTACCTATTATGATGAAGAGATGGGTCAAATGTATGTTCTACTTACAAGGGACTTTTGTTTCTTGGTTTAGGTTTTGAGAGAGGGTCTTCTTCTGTAGTCCACACTGACCTGGAATTTTAATCTCTCGCCTCAGCCTCCTTATTATGCATCGCCTGCCCAGGGTGCTTTACTCTTACTTTGTTGGGTGGTTTGTTTTTAGTTCCTTCTCTTGCGCTTTCTCATGCTCTTCAAGATGTCCTTGTGGAAGTTAACAGGGTTTCCTTTAGTAGGAGGTGGGATACAGCTTTGAGAAACCACTGCCCTATTGTTATAAACCAGGTGATATGACTGACACCCGCTGCTTCAGTGTTTTTCAATGGCAAATAAAAATCATAAATATCTTTGGGGTCCAAGATGAGGTTTTAATACACGTATAAAATGCGTGCTATTCAAGTCAGGGAGCTGACATGCTCATCATCTCAAACGTTTATCAGTCCTTAGTGGTGGCAGCATTTACCGCCCAAGAGTTTTTGAAATTAAAAAGAAACGGTAAACTGGGTCATGCACATCACTGGGGACATAGGTCTAAGGGTCCTTTCATTTATAATCTACTTTTAGACCTTTGAGGCATCTAATAGCCATAAAGACTGCTTACACCATTCGTCATATCATGAAAATATTCAGGCATCTCTCTTCACACACAGTAATAACAATGAAATGAAATTTAAGCAACTAAAACAATAGGTGGGGACAGCAAAATGGCTACGTGATTAAAGACACTTGCCATGCAAGTCTGAGGACCCAGGTTTGATCCCACCCGCATAAGAGGAGAGCCAACTCCACAAAGTAGTCCTCTGAGCCACATGGAGCATGTGCAGCCACACAGCCGGGCGTACACATACGATAGTAACAAATACATTTGGACACTTTACTTGTGCATTTTTAGCTAGGATATTTTCCATTTTATTTAACCTTATAAATGAAAAACTTAAAAGGCATTTAATAGCAAGCAAAATAATTATACTTTATTGACAATTCAGAAGTCACAGTACTTTCAGACACTTTCCAACTTCTTTTACAAAGAATAATAAATTATAAGACACAAGTCCAATGACACTTGACTTTCAATAAAGCTAACAATGAAAAACAAAGATCTACAGCCTGACTTTTTCACGTCACAAACACGTTTTCCCGTGTGATCATCATTCTGATCCAATCTATGGCAGAGTAGCTGAAATGGAGCCAGCTGTGAGTCCCTCTGGGGTGACATGCGTGGATACACCTAGAGAGTATCCGGTTCTAACAGGAAATCTGAGCAGTTGGGTCATTTGTAATTCTGCTTGCTAGGCAATCAATTCTAGACCTAGACATATTTCTTTTATATGCTGGGTCTAAACCAAGCCAATCCAGGAAGTCGTGTGTGGTCAAGTACATACAGTCATTTAGTGAGAGGAAGCAGTCTGCTACCTCCTAGACAAATTTCTCACATCTTCTTAATTAAGGGAAGATAACTGGGCTGAGCTGATCAAAATAAACCCATTTCCAATATTTTATAATTTTACACTATTGATGCATTATATTTTAACCAATGGTTTTATTGCTCTACAGTTAACATCTGTTGATATAAACAAGTGTATGTATTATCTCCATTGGCTTGTTCTGTATCTTTTCCATCTTGGAAGGAAAGGGAGCTGTGCACAATACCTAATGTATGTTGCCAGCGATCACCGCACTGGCATCTGTGGGGACTGAAGTGGAACAGGGAGCTGTTAAGACGTCGTGAGACATGGCACCCATACACACTCAAGCTGACATGTTCTAGAACTAGGAACATATCAAAGCTCAAACCCTGTCGGGTAACTCACAAGGGCACCACCATAAATGGATTACAAACACTCTAAGGAGAACATCTCACAAGACTCACCCGGCTTTGGTGACAAGTCAGAGAGAGCAGGACGGGGTAGTGGGGCACATCAAGTGCCAGTTTGCTTTCTATAAGTGACGATCTAAGCTGAAACTCTCTCAGCTCCTGCTTCTTAACCGTGAAGAAGCTGGGCCGCGTGTTAAAAGCTGTGTGGGACCAGTGTTCTGACGAGTGCCCTCAGATGCCTGGGAACACTCTCTGGAGCTCAGGGAACAGAAACAGGTGGCAGATAACGGAGGTTAGCCCATGGCTTTCCTCTCACGGCTCCACAGTGGGAATGGCACCCACACAACTGACCAGCTTTCTGGGAAAGTTCCCAGTGTGATGGGAAGTAGCAAACATGAGTTCAACGTGGGTGGCTGCTTCCCCTTCTTCCAGGCTCCCAAACAAAAGAAACAGCTGCTAGAATCAAAATATCTTCTCCAAAAGTCTTTAGAAAATTATGTAAAACTAAATATTATAGAAAAATGATGAAATGATAAATATATCTTTGGGCACCCTTAAAGAACAAGAGTGTATGCCTTTTGCAGTTTGTATCTAAACAGTGTTTCACAATAAAACTGAAAACTTTCTCCTTCTGTCAGCCTACGCTCCTTTCTGTGGAGGACTTCTCTTGAGTTGATAACCTGGGGACTTCCGCGTGGGTGCTGGTGCAGCAGCCCACTGTGCGGGAAATCCTGGCTGAGGAGATGTCACACTGTGGGCCCTGCAGTGACCCACTGTGTAAAAACCCATCGCACCTGGTGAATTCCACAAGTAACAGGTGGAGATGCAAAACTAAAACTGAGCACTCAGAGTGGAGAATATGGAGCGGAGCGGAGGCAGCTGACAAGAGCTTGCGCTGCCCCGAGCTGTGAGCTTTTAACCCCTGTACACCACTGCACATTTTTAAATATCTACTACAGTGCTCACAGTCGGATTCCTATGAAACTACTGTCCTCACAACCTCACCCACTGGCTCTACAAGACTAGAGATGTGGAGTAACAATTTAACATAAAATATCATAAACAACTATTAGAAATATCTAACATAAATGTTTTTAAAGTTTTGGTTCTTATGAATTCATACCAAAATAAAGCTTCTGATATATTTATAGGCTCACAGTTGAAGACAAAGTAATGACGTAAGCAAAGCTGAACCTGAATAAGTTAACGTACACATAGAAAAATAGAGAATTCCACAGAGAGCTTGGTGACATCTTACAGACTAACGCACAAGAGAACCAAGGGCTGAGAAGTCCAGAAGACCCAGCACTCGTTCCTTTAAACGCCAGAATTCCATCTTCATCATCAAATGAGCTTGCTTGCCTAGCTAGTGTGTTTGGAGATGGAAGGAAGGAGGCATTTTCTATGACAATGCCTGAAGCGTCTCAGTATTTTCTAGACAGTTCCTAATTGTTTCAAGTCTCCTAAATATGCATTTTGGGTCCCTCTGACCATTCAGACCACGGGGAGATTACAGTAAGGAGTTGCTACAGGGCTAGGACGATCCAAAATCCTGTACTTTGTCACATACCTATGATTCCCGAAAACCCAGGGGGCAAGGGGACATGGACTAGAATACTGCACAGCTAGTCAACTGACCCTGCTGTTCAAGGAGGCCCCGCCGCCTGGGGCCAGCACACTCCACAGCTAGACAGCCTCCCTGTTTAAGGAAATGTTAGCTTCTCTTCCTGTTTGAGGTCTATAAAGTCACAGGCAGGATTCTTGGATTTTTCTGTCACATATATTCAAATATATCAGGCGCTCTCAAAGATGAAAATATGATTGAAGAAAATCTACACTAAACTAAGCTGTATGTAAGTTTTCATCTTTCTTGACTGTGACATGAAAAATAATTTTTAAAAGATCTTTGTATGGAACAAATTTTGGGTTCTCTTGACTAGGATAAGTGCTCTTGACGAAGTCACCTGACACTCTGAGATTCCATTTCCTACAATGGTAACTGCCCTGTCTTGACACATCTAGAATCAATTTGGAAGAGAGACTCAGCTGAGAAAATGTCTCTGTAAGACTAACCTGTGGGTAAGTCTGTGGGATAGTTCTCCAGGTTGATGATCAATTAGGAAGGGCCCAGCCCATGGTGGGTGGTGCCACATCTGGGCTGGTGGTCCCGGGAGCTATAAGAAAGCAGGCTGAGCAAGCCATGAGCAGTACCGTCCCATAACTTCTGCATCAGCGCCTGCCTCCAGGTTCCTGCCCTGAGTTCTTGTCTTGACTTCCTTTGATGATGGCTGTGATGTGGAGCTATAAACTGAAATCAACTCTTTGTTCCCTAGGTTGCTTTTGGTCATGATGCTGTGTCATAGCAAGAGAAACCACAACTAAGACAGTAACTAAGGGAGGGGAATTCCAGAAACCTCAACGGCCTCTTTGCCCACAACCCAAACAGGTCAGAACCTTGCTCAGTACTTCCCAGTGACTACGGAGCCCTACTGTCTGTAGAGCCTAACAGTGAGGTGATTCTGGCTCTGCGAGCTTTCTAGTGTCTACACGACGGTCAGTGGGAATCTTCTGTCCTTCCAGGGGCTGTCAGAAGCATCACCCATGCAATAAAAATGCAACTGATGCATTTTCATACACATACACAGGAGGCTTACTTTGCTATTATGGGAATCCCCAGAGAGATCCTATTAACTATGTCCCTATTTAGTTTCCACAATGTTGAATGCCTTTACCTTCTCAATAGTGGCAAGAAAGATAATTCTTATTCAAAGTGTTTCTTACAGAAGCAAATAATAGTGTATCCTTATTGTTTTAAGGTTTGGATTTTAATTTTTTTCAGTTTTTCAAAGCTAATTTAAAATTTTTCATTGTCATTAGATAAAAGCAAGAATCTGCCATAGTTTACCACAACTGCAAAAGATGGCCAGGTCCCAGTCCAACCGCAATACTCTGCCAATCAAAACAAGAGTTTGGCACTGTGCTTAAATGCATGGTGACTGTACTGGTTCTTAATTTGCTGTTAGAATGGGACAACAACCGAGGACTCACAGCCCAGACGCTGCGCATGTGGAGTTCACATTCAGAGAGAGACTCTGGGAGGTGCCCGCTACAGCTACTGTAGTCGGATAAATAATCTCTTCAACAGTGACATAAGTGCCCAACAAGAAGCCGACGACCCCAGTGAATGCTATGGAGATGTTTTTCAGGATCATCCATATGTTGTAATGCTCCTTAGAAAACGTAAGGATTTCCACGAGCGGCGGCAGGATCAGGGCCAGCGTGCTGCTGCTTACAGCCCCAACGAAGGAGATCACGATGTCGAGGCGAGGAATGAGAATCGCCCCAGCACCTATTAAAAAATGGCTTCTGTTGATATGGTCGCTATAAAAGGGACTAACTATAGACAATCATTTTTGACAATGAAAGTGGTTAGCGGAAATTACTGCTTATGGGGAAACTGACGTAATTTATTCTGAGCTAAAGAGGGACAAACCAGAGAAACACTTTCTGGACTTATCCTTATCAATAACATTTCTCATGTAAACAACTATTAAGATTTTGCTATGAGATTGGAGCATCTAATTCAGAGCACTGAGCTCCTCTGCCCACCACACAGCAGAGTTCATGTCATACAAAACAGCGTGGTACGCCATGAATAACCGGGAGCAGAGAGAGCATCAGCTCTTACAGCAGAGCTCTAACCAGCCTCTCTAGGACAGCACACCAGAGGGTGATGACCACCAGCACAAGGCCAGGCTGCTGAGCAAGAGGAGTCAATGCAGGAGGCAAAATGAGTGGGCAAAGTTCTGTGGTAGAGAAAACCTGAATCCCAGAAACTGCGTTTCCAAGACAGAAGATCATGAAATTCAGGCCTGCCTGGGCTACATAGCAAGGCCCTCAAAAACAACAAGATCTGGGGATTAACTGGGGGTACAGTGCATGACCGGCATGTGTAAGGCCTTTGTTTTTAGTACCAAAAAGCAAAAATCTGGATGCACATATAGCTGCAAATCATCTCCCTAAGACACTGTCTCTGAAGCAGAAAAATCAAGGCCACATTACCCTCCTGAGCACAGCTGGCGTTCTGAGGGGGTACACTGAGCAATCCCCAGGGTGCCCCACTGTGGTACGTGGAGCAGTGCCCATCTCACTCCTATGGAACTCCTGCTAAGGGTTAAAGGCTAAGCCACGAGTGGTGGTGCAAACCTGCCATTTTGGAATTTGGGAAGCTGAGGCAGGAGGACTGAGTTTGAAGCTGCCCTGATCTTACAAATGCAAACATAGCCCTGTGTCTTAAAAAAAAATTTCAAACTATATAATTTAAGCAGTTCTCATTTTAACACATGCAAGTCAACTATTACGACAGTATGCACGGATACTTACAGGTGATACTAACCAAGAAGGACCGTATCCCAAATTCACAGATGCGCCTCCATTTGGCATGAAATCTGGCAGTGACTCCAGGAATAATGATCTCTGCTGGAACATAGAACTGAATTGAATAGGTCACGAAAATGCCAAAGGAATACAGAATTTTCACAGACTGATACAACCTGTTGGAAAAAAAGAAATTCAACATTTAGTTTCTTAATGTGACTGACTTTCCTCTTTTTAAAGTTTTAGGAGCAAACAAGAAATAAACATCACAAGCCAGTTTAGAGACCTCCTAAGAGAAGGTGAAAAGCCAGTAAGGTAGATGTGGTGGGGTAGATAATGCTAGCAGCCAGTAAGCCACTGCAGGACTGCTCTGAGTTCCACGTCTGGGCTACATACGTAGTAATTTCTAGACCAGACCAGTGGCTACAGACTGACAACTCTGTCTAAAGGAAGAAGAAAACACAAAGCCAAACATAAACTAACCCCCACTAACTCCATTTCTAGTCCTCGTACAGACAACTCCTTCTGACCAGCCTGGTGAGGCTGAGCACGGACTTGGGGGCACGGTGCTTACAAGATTGTGTTTAGGGCCAAGCCAGTGCTCCAGCTTGCACTCTGTCCCATGAAGATACTTTCAAAGTTTTCAAAGCAATAATTTTTTTCAACTTTCTTTCAAAAACTTGAATATCCTTATATTTCTTTGAAATACTGAGTCACAGCCCCAGTGACCTACATGTGGAAGAAATTGTCAGATTAGGCTCTCAATCTGAGCTCTCTTTGCTTGACATTTCTGTGGGCAGAGGACACAGGGAGGCACACCCGGATCACCTCAACCAGCTGAGTTCTCTAAGCTGCACAGCTGCCTGTTAGAATTCTCAGGGATGAGAGAACAGACTGGTTGCAGCTTGCTTGTGATGTAAACCTATCCCTTTAAGGTCAGGGCTTCAAAAGTGAACATCAGTGTTCAGCTTTAGATGCATCTTTAGAATTCTCTAATTACTCAATTTATGTGATTCACAGAGAGCTTAACAGACTAACAGGATCCACGGTAGTCTGACAGGGCAAGACAGTACAGAGGCCATTTCAGGCTCAACTAGAAGTTGATTGCTTTGATGGAGAAACCTGTAGAAAATCACCCAGGTCAATTCTAGGAAGCAAGGTCAGGACGCTTCTGTTAAACTACCTGCTTGTGCAAACCGCCTCTCCAGCTAACTGCTTATCTTAGCTTCTGTTGAACTGCTTGCTTCTATAAAATCTCCCCCTGCAGCTGCCAGGAGGTGCTTTTTGCCTTTAAAAGCCCCTTGCTCTAAATGTTCAGGGCTACAGTTGGGTCCCAAATATTTGAGTGTCTGGTGCCTGTGGAGGCCAGAAGCGGGTATCAGATCCCCTGGAACTGGAATTACAAATGGCTGTGAGCTATCACCTGGGTACTGGGAATAGAACCAGGTCCTCTGGATGAGCAACAAGTTCTCTGAATGGCTGAGCCAATTCTCCAGACCTCCTCAGGAAAAGCTTAGCAAATTCCTTTGTCTAGAGAAAGCAACGTTTTCAGTGAGGTGTAGGGAATGTGTGGGCTCATAAGAATCAGAGCAACAATAAACCAATGCCTCTGAGCTATCAATGATAAAATTGGTACACTGTATTTCAATACTTTAACATGTTGACTTTTTAAAATATTTTTTATATTTAAAATAATCTAAAGAAATAACCACTTGCATGTTTTAAGAACAAACTAGAGCGGAGGCTGTGGCTGGGGTGTGCCTGACTCTGGGGCTGAGCTAAGAAGCTGGGCTGCAGCTGGGGCAGTGAGCACCTCCTGGGTTCTCTCGCTGTGGAGAGTCCGCAGCCTCTCCGAGAGAGTGAAGAAGAGGGGAAAGTGTTTCTCCCTGGAATAAATCCCATTATCCTAAAAGGATATACAGGACTCTACTTTCGACAGTCATTAATTAGGGCTTAAGCTTATTTCTGACATCCTAAGACCTCAACCTTAAGAAGCGTAAACAGCTCTCTAGTCAGTGACTGAATGAGAATTCAACAAGCTTTGCCACAGCGTGTTCATCTTAGGAGTGGAAGAAGTAGGACTGAGTAAAAGTAATTTGAAAATATGGCAAATAACATTAGAAACAAAAAAGTCCTAGGGGCTGGAAACAATAAATCTTAATTAAAAAAATTACCCGAGGACATATTTACCTAGGGCCTTAAAATATAACTATAAATGGTTATGGCTGAAAATAGGCAAAATTACCAAATGATTATTTTTTCATGTTCTGATAAGCAGTTGTAGAGAACTAAACAAACATTCTTATTAGTTCATTATTCACTTAAAAGAGAAACATTGCTTTTTCCTAATTACTGTTATGTTTTCAAAGTATGGCTGATTGTATAGTTTAAAATGAAAACACTATTTTGCATATAAATATAGTTACATTCCACGGACAGAAAACTGAGTTGACAGGCTAACCCTGGTTAGTGTCAGCACCGGTCCACATGCCGCACTATTATCTGGTGTGCTGGGGAGCACTGCTCCAGTGTCTTCTTCACACACTGCACAGCCTGTTTCCAACCCCGGAAGGGTAATATGGCAATGACCGTGTCAAACACACTGTGTGAAAGCACCCATTTACTTCACTTTTACCTATTCTGTTTCTAAAGCCCATTTATTTTTACAGTTGGCATCTGTGCTTTCAACAATACTTCACAGTTTCTCTCAACTTTTCAACCTCTGTTCACACTTTAAGTATCCACAGAGCTGTGCATTCTGAGTTGTGCACAGGAGACATGAGGAAACACCTCATTCCAGGGCCATTCTGCATGCTCACTTTCTGGAACACTCTAACCTTTGAAGGGACAACGCCACCCTGTATCTCTCGGCCAGGGGACTATTAGCTCCTATTACCTTCCCAAGTCCACAAACCAGAGGACAGGCTGCTCCCAGCCGCCCTGTGAAGAGGTTCCAACAGACTCTTTCTAAAGGAAATCTCTCTCTACCCTGACTTGCTCTCCTACTTTTCAAGATGTCTACTATTTCTCAGGGTGATTTTTGGAGGCTTTTGTCCAGCTGAAAATAAGATGACTTGCTAGGCTTACTTGAGGTTAAACTATGCCTGAATGGCCTCTGAGTCACCAAGTCCCAACTTGCTCTGTTCTGACTTTAGAACCACAGCAAGCAGGCATCGGGGAAGGGCTGTGCTGTAGGGAAGGGAAGGGCAGTCACACGCCCAAGCCTGAACTGGCAATACGTACAAGCTTGCCTTCACATACTCCTGCCCCGGTCCTTCCCCATGTCTTAGCTGGGAACAGGGGCATCTATCTGTCTGCATGCTTTCTCTTCAGTTCCTTCTCCAGTAAGATTTTCTTTAAATACTTCTGTGAATAAAGATTGTTACTGTTTCCACCCATGTCTCATATTTGAGATTTTAAAAGCCTGTCAAATGCATTTTTAGTTCCACAAATAATGAAATCATGAAAAAGTTTAAATGCTCAAATCATAAATCAGAAAATGTATCTTCCCCATCAAATCTTGGTGAACACAGAACACATAAACTATGAGTGGTGAGTCACCTCTACCTACCACATGTCCTGGGGCAGATTCAGTGTAATGCTGCCCTTGATTTCATCACGGAAACACATGTAGCCTAAAGTGGCCAAGCTGATGTATAGTACTGTGACAATCGCCATGCCGATGTTCAGGGCCTGAGGGAAGCGTTTGGACTCCTTCATTTGGTTTTCCAGGGGAAGCACCTAGGAGAATACAGAACACAGCTATTTTTGAAGGAACAGGATACAGAAACTTCAGAATAGTAAGGGTAACTAGAAAAGCTAATCTTTTGTCGTCTCATGTAAAATCTTTTTTTCGTTCCACATATACGTGCTAGTTTCCTTTGAGATGTGTAGACTATGTATGCGTGTGTGTGTGTGTCTGTGTGTGTGTGTGTGTGTGTGTGTGTGTCTGATGTCAGTTTCTTCCTCTATCATTTTCCACCTTAGTTTTCCCCCTCTTAGGTCCTTCTACAGAGTGACTCACTATGTATACTTGGCTAGTCTGTCGACCACTATGTAGCCTTGGCTAGTCTGTAGACCACTATGTAGCCTTGGCTAGTCTGTAGACCACTATGTATAGTTGGCTAGTCTGTAGACCACTATGTATAGTTGGCTAGTCTGTAGACCACTATGTATAGTTGGCTAGTCTGTAGACCACTATGTATAGTTGGCTAGTCTGTAGACCACTATGTATAGTTGGCTAGTCTATAGATCACTATGTATAGTTGGCTAGTCTGTCGACCACTATGTAGCCTTGGCTAGTCTGTAGACCACTATGTAGCCTTGGCTAGTCTGTAGACCACTATGTATACTTGGCTAGTCTGTAGACCAGCCTGGCCTCAAGCTCACAGACATCCGCCTGCCTCTGCCTCCCACATTCCGGGACTAAAGGCATGTGCCCCCACACCAAGCTTCCACCTTGCATTTTGAGACAGATCTCACTGAACCTGGAGCTTCTTGGTTGGGCTAAACTGTCCAGCTGTGAGCAATAGGAATTCCCAGTCTCCGTGTCCCAGCACCAGCATGACACCTGCACCCAGCTTTTTACATGGGGGATGGGCTCATCCCTATGCAGCAAGCACTTACCAACACACCTCCTCCTCAGACCCTGCGCTCAGATTTTTATATTACATTATTTTTTGATTCCTAAAAAGATTTGAAGATCAGCTCTCAGCAGGCAACCTGCAGATTATTTTTATACACCTTTTCTGGTCAGATTAATTTTAGATTTGTTTTTTAAATGCCAAGGGAAACACAGATGGCTCCCACGTGCCCCCAGAGCAGCTCTCCCACGATTAACACTTTATATGCCAGTTGTCACACTGAGCCAACACTGGCCAACCAGAGTGACTGAACTCCGAATTCCATTTCAATTCTCTAGCTGCTCCATGGATGACCTTTCTCTGCAGCAGGAGCCCATCCAGGACACCGCACTGACTGCTCTAAGTCTGTCCGTCGCTCCCTCTGTCTCCTGTGGTCTGGCTGGCTTCTCAATCTCTCTGCTCGCTGTCTTGACTTATGGAACTGCTTTGTACAATATCCCTCTAACTGGGTTTGTTCAAGTGCCTTCCTTGTTACCAGACAGGACCATGGTTTTAGAGAAGGACATCGCACCCTGGTGTGCTTCAGTCATCACCACTGGAAAGCCACCTCCCCACCCCCCTCATCATACTCTGGGTCTCTAACTCTACCGATTCCCTAAGAACTAAGTGAGAATGACCTATACCTGCTGGAGGGAGGCGGCTCTGCTAGGGAGTCTGCCTCGTAGTCATTAGCTCAATCCTTTACATTACTGTGGGCTTCTGGAGAAGCCATGCACACTGCACCACAACCCGACATTCTGTCATGAACTCTGCCACTTAACCTACCAGCCTGGGTCGCTGTGTAATAGCAGGCGAGTGACTAGCGGGCATGTAACTAGCAGATGTGTGACTAGCAGGCATGTGTGCAGCCCAGGTGCCCACTCCTCACTGTCGCTGTGAGCACCCCTTCCTCTCTGGCCTGTACAGAGCCCCACATTCATGCTGAATTCCATGGTTCAGTCTTCATCAGACATTCTTCTCCACAGAACATAGTTCTTTCCTCAGAGCATGGCATCTAGAATCAAGATCTCCGAATCGAGTGTGCTGAGTGAGGAGTGTTGCTTCTGAGCCCTCAGGAGACAGAGCCAGTTAAAGCTCGTACACAGATGAATACACACACACACACATCTATAACTGCTCTACAGCATGTGTAGGGGGAACAGGAGACAGTGAAAGCTCGTACACAGGTGAATACACACATGCACATCTGTAACTACTATTTGACAATAACTCTGTAATTATTTCCACAACCTTCAAATATTCTAGTCCATAGCATGTGATGTTTGGGCTGGCTGGCCGACATGCAAACCTGACGGCCTGAGTTTAGTCACCAGAACCCAGAAGGGTCTGGGTGTGCTGGCTCACATCTCTAATCCCACCATTCCTGTGTGAGGTGGCTGGTGGAAACAGAGAATTACCTAGACGCTCTCTGACATAGGGCCCTGGAGAACCTCCCAGAACAACAGACACAAGAGGGTCCTCACCCCATAACGTAAGAGGAGAGAACCAACTCCTGGAAGTTGTGCTCTGAACTCCCCTGACCCACACCAATACAAGTGCCTTCTTAAAAATGTGCTATTTGAGGGCTGGAGAGATGGCTCACTGGTTAAGAGCACTGACTGCTCTTCCAGAGGATCAGTTTTGAATCCCAGAGCCCATGTGGTGGCTCACAAACAGCTGTGACTCCAATTCCAAGGCTCAGCAGCCTCTCCTGGCCTCCATGGAAAACAGGCATGCACATAGTGCACAGACATGCTTGCAGGCAAAACAACCCCAACGCACAATAGAAAAAAAAATGCTAGAATATGTGGGACACAAACAAAAGAAACTCGTCTGTGAGTTCCACTTTCTGAAGTTATGTTATACTTACAAGAGTTTTCAGCATAACACTCTAAGGCTTTTATAGGCTTGAAATTTTTCCCAATAAAAATGCTTTTTAAAAAATCTAGCTTAATATTGTCACTTAAACTTGTTAGGACGCTGGCCTGTCACCTGACAGGATGCCCTCAGGCAGTACCCTGGCCAGCCCAGGGTCCTACTGTGTCACTATGTAGTATGCACGGGCGCACAAAAGGTCCCTTTATTTAAGAGACAAGTTCTGCCCATTCAGGCTCTCTCTTTCCTTCTTCTGAAGAAGCAAGCAGGTCGCTGGAAAAGACTTAGAGAACCTAAGAAACATGTCTAAGAATAAGTTTCTGGTCAGTAGAAAAACCAAACTACCTGACTGCTAGGTCTCAGACCTAGAATAGGTCTTATTCAGTTCCTGGCTCCTCCCAGCGCCCCTCACCTCACCCTACCTAAAACCTCCCCCTCCCAGGGGCTGGGCTCCCCCAGCCTGATTCCTACACAAGCCATTTTGGCTACACTGGCCTCTTGGCCTAGGCCTGGGGCTCCTCCCTTGCTCTCCCCAACGCCCTCCTCTCCACTCAGGGTCTGGTTTAGCTAACCATACATTCAGCCTGGACTCCCCCTCTGCTGTTCTCACCCTTCTATCTACAGTTGACATCTCCACACCTTAGGGGCAGCCATGACCTCCTCCTTTTCTCTCATTTTTTTCACTCACCCACCAAACTGGGAATCATGTTCTATGAATACAGGAAACTAAGCCCCACCCCGGCCCCCAAAACATGTATTTATACAGTGGACTATAAAAATTCTTATGTTAAGAGTTTAAAGACAAGTAATGGCTAATTCTCACCACTCCTATGCCTTCAAAAGCAAACACAGCAGTACCAAAAAACAGTGGGTAATTCTTCCAACCGGCCACAACTGGAAGATTGTGGGGATCTGGCATGTTCTGCAGAAAAGAGAAAGAAAGAAAAAAGAAACCAAGTTACAGTTTTCTCAGGCTTCACAGAGCAGCTGGGCTTATGGATCTCAGTAAACATTTTACATCCTCCATTAAGGGTTATGCTATTAGGATATTGCAATGAAACAATGGCTGACCTTGTGTCACTGGCCAGTCCCAGGCAGCCACTGGGCTACATCTCCTCCACACCAGAACTATGCAGGCGTACTTAGAAGTCAGAGCCCACAGTCACCAGGCGTTACTGTGGTCTGTTGTAGGAGCTGCGGGCCTGCTTTTCGTTCCACCTGGCTCCTGCACAGCTAGCTTTACACCAGAAATAACAACACACAAACTGTATTCTTTTAAATACTGCTTGGCCCATTAACTCTAGCCCTTACAGGCTAATTCTCATATTCTGATCAACCCATCTCTAATAATCTGTGTAGCATCAGTCTTACCGGGAAAGATTCAGCATGTCTGACCTGGCAGCTTGCTTCATGGCGTCTCCCCGGGAGAGGGGAACATGGCCTCTGAGCTCACTTCCTCTTCCTCCCAGCATTCTGTTCTGTTTACTCCTCCCACCTATGTTTTAACCTATGAGGCCAAGCAGTTTCTTTATTACTTAACCAATGACCTTCCTCCATCAGTGGTCTCCATGCACCCCCACTTCTTCAGTTCCCTAGGACACCTGGCTCCAGACTACTGCCCTAGCTGTCCACTGTGCAGGTCTCCTGGTGTCAGTGTGTGCTCTGATATGACACACAGAGCCTACTCCTCATGCGGATGACACCACCGCCATTCATTACCCGTGGTAATGCTTCCACTCTGAAATCTAGACAGGACTGCAGCATACCTGACCAGCATACCAAACCACTGACCACAACGACCTTCCTTCTGGACTCCCCAATCTGCCCCTACCACCACCACAATTTTCTCTGAAGTAGAACTCAAGGCCAAGAAAAGAGACTGTGCAAACCAGAGTGTGAAAGCATGGGGGTAACGTGGGCTACGTGGAGGTTGGTGGTGATTGAGGCGCATGCAGAATTCCATGCTATGAAGAGATGTGTGACAGGGAAGCCAGGGTAGGGTGAGCAGGAAGCTATGGCAGCCACTTCCCTGTGCCTTTCCCTCCGCTGAGGGGTCCGCCTTCTCTGCCCCACCAAGTCTAACAGGTCCAACTAAGAGATAGGGAATGTCAGAAAGGCTCAGGCAACCTCCTTCCCAACCAACCCTGTCTGAGAATCCAGAGGGAGGAAAAGTGAAACGCACCCGGTATATGAGTTTCTGTGAACTGTTCGGAAATCTTATGATTATCTTGGAAGTAACATCTCTGATAGATTAGATCATGCGGAAATAACACAGGATCCTCGACTATCTTGGGGTCCCTGGTCTCTGCCTGACATAACTGAGTTAAGAGTCCAGAGACTTCAAACAGTGACCTCACTTCTGGCTGCTGCATGATCTTCAAACAAAGAGTCACAGACGTGCACCATGGCAGTCGACTGCACATAAAAGTAAGCAAAAAGCTTACAGAATTACATTCATACCCATAGTTGTGACTCAAAGGCATAAACACACACCGTAACTCAATGTGCTGTCACGGGAGGCTCTATACAGGAGCATAACACTCACTCTCACAAGAGCGCTAATAGGGAAGGTGGGATGTTTGGGAACACTGACGTGAACCCACAAGCATCCTCATCAACATTCAGGCCAGATGTGGCCTCTTAACATCTACATTAACATTATCTCCTGCAGGGAAATCAACAATGGCTGCCTGTCTGTGTGCCATGTGTGGGCAGGTCTGTCCATGTCACCTCCAAACAAAGCTTCATGTACATGGGAACAAGATGGTTACTCAGAGCACACTTACCCTGACAACATACTGGTAAATTATCACAAGACTGGCGGCCATGGAAATGTTGGCAAGGAAGGAAAGTATGAAGAGATTCTTCAGCTCACGAATGAAGACCAAGAGAATTATAAATGGGAGGAAGCAGAGCATATAGACCCTGAGGTCCACACTTCTTCTCTCACAGGCAAGAGATGGATCTGTGCTGTTGGAAACCAGCACTGTGCTCCCCAGAAGGCCTTCATGAACCTGCAGGACAGTCACCGGGGAGGAAGAGGAAGGAGATTACCCATCTGCTTACAGTCATGATAGACAGCTGAAATAGAACTCACACCCTCTATGATCAAGCCCCATGACAGCAGTGACTAGTGAGGTCATCCCGCAGCGTACACAGTGGTGACCAGTGAGGTCATCCCTCAGTGTCTAACAGCAACGGTGGTGACCAGTGAGGTCATCCCTCAGTGTCTAACTGTGACGGTGGTGACCAGTGAGGTCATCCCTCAGTGTCTAACTGTGACGGCACTGACCAGTGAGGTCATCCCTCAGTGTCTAACTGTGACAGCACTGACCAGTGAGGTCATCCCTCAGTGTCTAACTGTGACGGTGGTGACCAGTGAGGTCATCCCTCAGTGTCTAACTGTGACAGCACTGACCAGTGAGGTCATCCCTCAGTGTCTAACTGTGATGGTGGTAACCAGTGAGGTCATCCCTCAGTGTCTAACAGCAACGGTGGTGACCAGTGAGGTCATCCGCCATGCTAACCAGTTGACTAGTAAGGTTCACCAGTGTGTGAACACTGTGAACACTGTGCACACTGTGCACACTGCCAAGAACAACAGTATCCAATCTTACACTTCTGTGACCACTGCCTACCCTGCCCATGTGGGTGTTCCTTGCTGCCTCAGGCTGTTTGCTGAAGTCTGACTTCATGTTTTTCTCTGTGCTTCGCTTTATGCTTCTAAAAGCCTTTTATCATTTCAGCTAGAAAATACAAGTTCTCCCAACCAGCCAGAGAGCCACTTCTTCTACCTCATCTCCCCATGTCTTAAAGTCTCCATTAAACTCTAGAACAGACAATGTTTCATAAGAGAAAGGCATTAAACGCCCTTAGATGTTTCTTCCTTCTCCCACTCACCAACACACACACACACACACACACACACACACACACACACATCCTACCCAGTGATAAAAATCACTACCCAAGGTGGCTAACCAGGTGTGGCAGAACGTAACTGGAAACTCAATGCTTAGGAAAAGAGACACCAAGATCCTGAGTTCAAGGCCATGCACAGCTAACAAACAACATATAGGGTAAAACTGTGACCAGGGACTCCATTTCAGGAAAATGGCCAGTAAGCTCAGGGGATGTCAATCATGTGCACAAGACTTCCCAGTCATTACTCCAAGGAAACAGTGACACTTAAAGTCACATTACATAAACCCCAGGGCACTGTTCCTAGAGTCACACAGGGCTTGTTGGCTACTCTCTTGGGAGAACAAGAAGAACACAGCAATGCCCAGTCATGGTGGCACACATCTATGGTCCCAGCACTTGGGAGGTAAATGCAAGAGGATAAAAAGGTTCAAGGCCAGGCTGAGCTACACAGAAAGTTCAACACGAGTCTGAATTAGGTAAGACCATCTCAAAAGCAAGTAAAAATGGTGGGGATAGGATAACAGCTTCATCCCAGCCATCTTGCCTGATCCCAGACAAACTCTCGCCATCACGTTCCACATGAATGATGGCAGGATGGCACGTGTCTTCAGATCCTTTGTCAACAACAGCAACTACTGGACCTTAGGGATAAACACTCATCTCTCTGTCCCATGTTCTTAGCTGCTGCCTACTGTCCTTTATTTCCTACACAGAACATCAACAAGAACAATGTGATCCCAAGTATCCATGTGCGTACTTCTGAGATCTGAATTTGAAATAATCAAGAAATAGTAAGCCGTACCACATTCTGGTCGGAAAAAAAAAAAAGAGCATGGTTGATATCCTGTCAGGAGTAACAAACCAGGGACAATAACATCAGAAGTCCTACTTGTGTAAGAGACACCAAAGAAGAATCTATAAAAATGACAGCGAGTGAAACACGCTGTTATCTTCAACCATGAGAAGATGAGCCGTGCAACAACAAAGCAGCAAAGCAAGCATCTCCCCGACTGCAGAAACGTACTCACTTGTTTCACATTCTCGGCTAAGAAGACGATATAGACGCTGCAGAATCCCAGCTGCGTTATCACCAGAAAAAAGTCGACCACGCTCCTGAAAAGTCCCGGAAAGAGTGTCACTGGGGGTTCTAGCCAGGCAGCAGGCCTCATTTCCCATTTAGCTCTTCTAAAACATTTTATAATAGCATTTCTTCTTTTCCTTCCTAAGATAATGACCACTTAAATATTTGTCTCTCATGACGACCATGTCAGTCAGTAAGGCACTAGACATGACAGTAAACGTACACTTCACTCGGTTCAAAGGCAAAGATTTTTACATCATTTCCTTCTTCTGCGATTCTGCTGTGTAAGAACAGCTGCTTGTAAAATGATTCCACAGAACTATATTCAGGCTTAGGGTGTAGCTCACAATGGAGCCTTTAGTGTATCTAAGGACCTCCATTTGAGCATCAGCACTGAAGAAGAATTCATGTTTGGACTACACCATCCCCTCTACTTCTCAAGACTGCCCTCACGCCAGCTCAGTATATTTCCACCCTCCCAGACTCCTGGCATTTGCACAAAAGGGAAGCACATTTGCTACTTCCTAAACCAATTAAGAACGCAGAATGCAAAAGGATTGGAAGCATCTTTGGTAAATTTTCTCTGTTCTTATTATATGAGATGCTCTAGGAAGTTCCAAACACAAAACAGTTATGGCCAAAGAGGGAGCAACTATCACTTGGACATGGCAGGCACCAGGTACAACATCTTGCACGCTGGTCTTGGAGCAAGGAGAGAGTACAGTATCAGACTGACTGACCGGTGACTTATAACTCCTGTCAGCGGCCATCACCATCATAAAACAGCCAACAGGCAGAGACTAGAACCAGAGTCTGTCCAACTCTAAGGACCACTTACTACCTTCCCACAACTCTGTCATACTTTGAGTTATGTCTTATTCAATGAAAACAGTTAAAATCAGCATAACTTCAGCACAGAGACATTAGAAGCAAAGCCAGTGCTCACCGCCCCCACGCCGCCTGCCGCTGAAGACAACTCCATGGGCTGGCCTCCATGGCATAACTCACAGTGTCACTGTACCCCAGTGTTGACTTCTTAAACCTGCAATTTAATTGCACACAATAGAGGGAAGCATTAAATTGGTCTATAAGGCCATCCCATGAAAACAGCATCACTTACAGAGATGTGTGAGCTCAGGATATACATTAGCAGATCCGTTTGCAAAGAGCAAATAAATATCCGTGTGCCCACGAACATGAGTGAAGCAATTTCAAAATATCATCAGCCCTGTTGCAGGCATATAAAGTTTTATCTGCTGCTGTTGTTTTCCTATCTGTAGAATTCAGACAGCTTTGTATTGGTGCTTCATTTAAATACTTCAAGCACCTAAAAACACCAAGTGTACAGTTCATCTGTAGATGAACATCCCGTGACAGCAGTATATAACAGTTCCATAGAAACGGGCTCATGTAATCTTCAGAACATCTCCATGAAGCCAGTGTCACTTCTCTGTTCTCTACTCCACTGTCTTCTTTAGACAGTGTATGCATCATTATTTAAACAACCTACATGATACAAACATATTCGAGAACATTTAACTAAAATGCTGGGGCCAGACCACTGGTTTGCTATAACATGAAGCATTTTTAAAGGCAGATTTATTGTCCAGTAGAACATTTCGTGATATAGAACTAAAAGGGAATATTTTATTTTTCTAAGCTCTGCCCCAAACTGAATCACCAATGAACTGAAGACCCGGAGCCATCATGGCAAGTGCACAGCTGCTTGGCTTCCTCTTCCACTACATACCAGGACCACCCATCTTCCCCGTAGAGCACCTTTTGAAAGTCTATAGTCACGATGACTCAGCAGCTAAAGGACTTGTCACAAAAGCCCCCAACAGCCCGGGTTCGAGCAGGGAAGCACCGACAAGTGGAGGAAAGTACTGACTGCACCGTGTCCTCTCACTTTCCATGTTCACTGTGTCATACAAGTCTTACATATATACATCATATACATATCATATATACATCATATACACACAGGCAATATCTAACACGAGGAAAGAAAGTACAGTCATCCCTTCTTACCCACAAGTTCCTCATGTGTGGGTTAACTAACTGCATACGGAAAATTCATGAAAAATCATGTCTGTGATGTTTACATACACAACTTTATTCTTCTTGTCATTATTTGGTGAACACTTTAGAGTAATAATGTGCATAGCATTTACACTGTATTAAAAGTGATTACAGCATCTGGAAGGTTGTACATCATCTTCTGTGAGGGACTTGAGCACTTGCGGGTTTCCATGGGGATCCTGGAACCAGTTCTCTAAGAACACTAAGGGATGACTATGGACAGATGCTGACCACATTAACTCCAGAAAATGCTAGCCTGTGCCATGGTCACCCACATTAACTCCAGAGAATGCTAGCCTGTGCCATGGTCCTCCACATTAACTCCAGAGAATGCTGGCCTGTGCCATGGTCATTATTAGCTGTGTCAGGCAGCAGAAGAAACAACCTCCAGATACAAAGCACAATAGATACACGAGACAATGACCCTCTAAGCAAACAGAAGCTTTACAATGAATCAAATCAACTTAATGAGTCCACATTTACCTCTGACATAGAAAGTGACTGCAACGTACCAATATGTGCATACAGTGGACGGAAATAATTCCTATAAACACAAGGCTGATTGGTCCAAGCTGTGGAGAAGAAAATATGGAAGGTTGAAATATTCATTTTTAAAAAGTGAGTGAGTTTTTAAGCAATGAGTCAATGGCCAATTCATTTACCATAAGAAAACTGTTGAATCCATTGATTAAATTGCCATAGGCATGGGGAAAATTAGTAATTTTAACACAGAGATTTTTTTCAGGTAGTATTTTAGAAAATGATGCTATCTTGCAGACTTGGTGACTAAAGCCTGTGTTACTGAGTACAGACACTCAGCAAGGAATACAGAATACAATGTCACATCCAGCGCTGGAGGACAAATGTATGGAACCAGTGTCCACCTCTGTAGTACACACTTACATCCCCTGTCTACACACACACACACACACACACACAAACACACACACACACACACAAAGATCTTTAACCTTCCACAGGTTGCTCTTAGAGAACCCACATGTATGTCAGGGACAGCAGTTAAGAGATAACTGTTTCAAACGGTTCATGAAAAGTTTCAAGTGTGTACTCTCCAGACTCAAAGTGATGCCTGGATCAGGGTGGATAGCAGATTCAAGGGATGCCTGGATCAGGGTGGATAGCAGATTCAAGGGATGCCTGGATCAGGGTGGGCAGCAGATTCAAGGGATGCCTAGATCAGGGTGGGCAGCAGATTCAAGGGATGCCTGGATCAGGGTGGGTAGAAGACTTCAAGGGATGCCTGGATCAGGGTGGGTAGAAGACTCAAAGGGATGCCTGGATCAGGGTGGGTAGAAGACTCAAAGGGATGCCTGGATCACGCAAAACTTACATGAACAATCAAAATCCTTTACACACAGGAGTATTAAACCCAGAAAAACGGGATAGCTACAACCTCTATGGAAGCCAATACATTTAAAAAGTTACGTCTAATTTACTTCATCCTGCCTCAACATAGTTCTCAAATGCAGCAATTATACTGCCTCTAGCACTGTTTTGATATCTGTGTTTAAAAGACATCGTTACTCATTTCAACTATTTTTCATAGATATGAATACTGCATGCACACTTATTCTGACTCTAAAATACTAATGAAGTTACACCATAAATATAATCCATTCCCTTAATGTATTAGCTGTTGTGGGCACACTGCTTAAGCCACTGACAGCATGCCAAAAATGAGACACACCCATCTTCAGAAATCAAGACCTGGGTTAGGTTTGAGAGTTTGCTGTTGCTAAATGTTAAAAATAAGCAATCACATAGAGATGAAAACAGTAACTCTCACTCTGGTTTAGGTACCATGATTACAGTTCACATAATTATACCAGAAAAATGGTCAACAGCCACCTACATGCCACCTGGCCAGGTTACTCTGGATGAGGTGAGAATCATCCTAACATACAACTAACTGTCTCCAGCGTGGAGAACACAGACAGCCTTACCACAATGCCGGCATTCTTTATTGCCAAGGGGAGTCCTAAAAGGCCGGTTCCAATGTTCCCCTTAAGAAGATGCATCAGCGTCTGCATGAATCTGGAACGAGAAAGCCATAAGATTTAAGAGTTCCACCTAGGGACCTCGGCAACAAACAAAACAATGGTTCCCATCCCACCAACAGGCAAGAGGACACCCAAGGGTCAAGTCCCATCTTTACTAAATAAAAGCCAAGTACAAAGAATTACTGTGGAAATTAAACAAAATATTTAGTCAGTGTGGGGCATGTAGAACAGTAATTTAAATCTGGTTTTCTTATATCTGCTTTGCTGCTCTGGTGTCGAGAACCCTGAGGATCTGGCTGGTAAAACAGGATTTACTGGCACTGATAACTATGGTTCTAAACATCTGATCTATGACTGTCACCCTAAAAATGAGTTATAAAATATTATTTATACAGGTTTTAACACTATACTCAGGTAAAGTAATTTCTATTATCACGAGCTCCCTCAGGACTTGACTGGAGGAGGTCTTCTTGACCAAGAAGAAACAAACTGAAATTAAGAGAAGCACAAACCTCAAACTCATGGATGAAAAATAGCTGGCAAGAGTCACTCAGTATTTTAGTTCACACAGGATTGGATTTCAGGAGAGTGTGTTTAACCACTAAGTCACTACTAAAGCATAGATTCGGTGATGACAAGACACCAACAATTATAACCCACCCTGCCAGCAGCCTATCTCCTCATTCTGCACGAGCCCCACCCTCCGAGAAGCCATTCTCCTAACACTTAACCCTTCTGTCTCCTCGCTGGCATGGTTCTTTGAGGGACACAGGATTCGATATCTCTCACCACTGGAGAAATACCCACACTGCTCAGTATCCTGATCTCCTTCTCTCATATACTACAAACATCTCTGATTCTGACTCCTCATCTTCTGAATGATCTCTGTCATCTGTAGCATCCTGTAAAATACCCAGAGCTGTGGGAGACAAAGAAATGCACACGGTGTCAGCAGAGCCGAGGGCCCACGACACTTACGAAATCCCATGCTGCCCGTCAAGCTGGTAGTGCTTCTGCACTGGCAGGATCATCTGTTCCTGTTCCTCGTCCGACGTCCCATCGAAATTCTGCTCGTTTATTAAGGGCCTCATCACGTCCATATCTAAAGAACAGAAACAGTCCTGTACCACTGCTTGTAAATCTGAGGTAAGGCTACAACTCGTGAATTATGAAATATCAGGAAGTACAAGGCTAGAGAGATGAAATGGCTCACTGGATAAAACGACGGACCCACAAGTTTAAGGACCTGAGTTCTGATCCCTGGCAGCTGCTTGTAACATTTGCACTAGGGAGACATAAAGACAACAGGCTGAGTGGCTAACCAGACTAGCAAGATACCATAAACACTGAATTTAGTGAAAGATCCTTTCTCTATAAATAAAACGGAAAACAACCTAGGAAGACACTCAAGGTCAACTTCAGGCCTACACACACACAACACACATGTGTACACACACATGCACACACACCTACATATGCAAGCATTCCTACACTCTGCACTGTTCACATGCACACACACATGTGCACACATACACATGCAAACATTCCTACACTGTGCACTGCACACATACACACACAGGTGCATGTATAGCTATACACGTGCAAGTATGAATACACTCTGCACACACACATGCATGTGCATACCCACACATGCAAACATACCTACATTCTGCCATGAGCGTGTATGCGTGCACACACACAAACACACAGACACACACTATGAAATGCCATCTGTATTCATTGCATCTGAGTATCTTAGTTCATGTTAGCCCCGAGACCTGATACTGTCACAAAGAAAAATATCAGACTTACTTTCTGGATGTTCTATTGGATTACATACAGTGTAGAAGAAAAAAACTTATGTAATACAGAAAGTTCTTGTTTACAGGACAAGAAATGTGAAGAAATAATGAAATATATTTTCCAGTGTTCTCATCTCTAACAATGTTTTTGTGTGACTATTCCTCACTGCCCTCTTACTGCAATAGAAACCACTCAATCTGAATTAAGACTGAAATACAAAGCCAAGCATGGTGGTGCACGCCTTTAATCCCAGAGCTCAGGAGGCAGAGACAGACAGGTCTCTGTGACTTTGAAGCCAGCCTGGTCTACAAAGTGAGTTCCCATATAGTTAGGACTGTTACACAGAGAAACCCTGTCTTGGAAAAAAAAAAATGAAGTACAGAGATTTTAAAGGCAAACACTTTGATCTACCACTCACAGTGAGCTGCCACACCAGGGAATGGAATACCTATAGCTAGAAATGATCAACCTCACTCTTCAAACTTCTCATTTTACAGTAATTTCAGGTTTAAATCTGCAGCAACAGGAAACACACACCATTTGCTGCAACTGCTTTTTCCCTCTCAAACGAAGACTCGGTTCCATCAGTTACTGCAGCACTGACATACGTGATGCTGGTTCACTCTGTCTTGAAATTCCACACTCGAGTGCTCTCTTCCCCAGCTGCACCCGCCAACTCCCTGACCTGCTTCAGGAAAGGTCAAGGGCTCAGCCACAGACTCCATTGTCCTGGGCTCTTCTGCTGGTCACCTCTGTCATTGTGTCTTTGGGGGTGTTTGTAGTTCTCCTTACCTTTTTACTGTCTAGACAGTTTGAAGATGTTTAAATCATGTGTACGTGTGCATCTGTGTGGGGGTCTGTGCGAGACTGAGTGCAGCGCCTGCAGAGGACAGCAGGAGGCCTCAGATCCCTGGGAACTGGAGTTACAGGTGTTGCTAGCCACCGGTGTGGGTACCAGAGCCTAAACTCAGATACTCTGCAAAAAAGAGCAGTGTGCATTACCAGCTGAGCATCTTTCCAGCCTGCCTTGACAGTTTTGAATGTTATACAGTTTCTACCTATGCATGCCATCGATCAAATATGAACTGTCCACTGGCTCTGCTCCCCTGGTCACTGCTACTTAGGGAGACTGGAGAGCCTGACTCACAGCGAGTATCTAGACAGGGCGGGCCCTGAGGTGCACAGCTTCAGAGGTGGAGCCTGACTCACAGTGAGTATCTAGACAGGGCGGGCCCTGAGGTGCACAGCTCAGCCTGCTTTCCGCTGTCTCTACCTGCTGACCCACTAGAAATCCAGCAAGCACCTCGTGCATGCTCCCACCAGGCTAGAGCCACCTGAAACCACGTGCTGTCTGCCACCATGTTTTCCCTGCCATGAGGGACTGTAGCCCCTTCTCCTGTTGCCATCTCGTATTCTGTTTCCGAAAATATTCTTTTCTGTAATGGTCTTCCCATCATGTCTCCATCTGTACCTCAGATTTAGATCTATAGTTCTCTGACATTCCCTCAACCATCCAGAAGCTTATGCCAACTAGAGTGTCTCAGAAAGGCCTCGGAGGGCTCGCTAACAAACTGACATGCTCCACCGCAAAGTTTCTGGCTCAGGTCCTTGGCTGGAGCTGAGTGAGAGTCAGGCCTTGAGACCGTGATGTGGGGGGACTTGCTCACTCTCAGAACATAGTTCTAGCAGGTTCTTCAGAAAGAACTCACCTCTACGCTACTCTCTAGGGAGTCAATCTTCATTCAAACTTAGCATACAAAATACTGGGTCTCATGATACTTCCATACATGCTCTGTTTTTGTTCATCTTCCCCCTTACTTCCCCTGCTTTCCTCCCCTGACTCACCTTCCCAGGAGCCTCTTCTGTTTCTATGCCATCCTCCTTCATCCCCTCCCCAACTCTTCCTTAAGACCTCCTTTTCCCCTCTCACGGTGCCCTTCCTAGTTTCTAGTCTTCCCGCACTCTACACAGGACTGGCATAGCCAAGTCATGGGGTGGCTCTATTTTTGTCTTTTGTTTTATTTTGCTTTGGGTTCTGGGTTTTTGTTTTATTTATTTATTTATTTATTTATTTATTTATTTATTTATTTTTAGGAAAATCTGGTATTTCCACAACAGCTGTGCCAGCTCACATTTCTACCAGCAGGAGGCACTCTTTCCCACGTCCTCACCAGCACTTGCTGACTTCTGCTTCTCTGCATTTGGTTAATGTGTCCCACAATCCAGCTATCTAAAGGGCTAGGTGTAAAATCCTCAGCTGCGCTTGCCTTGCCTTTCTATAGCTTTGCCTGAGTGCTCCAATACCAGCCTTATCTTCTTGGTCACTCAGTGACTTGTCCTTTGTCCTAGAGGGCCTAATGACCCATTGTATCCTTTTTCTCTTTAACTCCTTATTGCTTCTTTGTGGATTTCACATAAAGCACCCCAACTCATCTCCCCGTCCTTTTGTATCCACCCTCTGCTCTTGCAACCTCCCCCACAAAAAAAGACAAAAACTAAAAAAGAAAAAAGAAATCTCATCATGGAAGCTGGAGCCCTGCCATAGCCACACAGTCTACCCTCAGTCTATACATCTTTACTTGTAAGTCTTCACTGCAGTGAGTCATTGGTCAGGCTCCTGCTACGTTGGCGTTGGCTCACTCACACCTCCATGACCAGTGCCAGCTCTCCTGTGCTGCTTAGGTGAGGTGCAGGGCCTGCTCTCCTGGGTTCTACAGCCTAGGGTAAGGGGCAGGACCAGCTCTCCCACTCTCGTGTGCCCGGGCCCAGTTCTCCTGCCTGCTGCAGGTGATGAGGGGCAACGGGGTAGGACATCTTTCTCTCGCCCATGCCACCACACTGGGCAGATGAGGGACAGAACCAGATCTCCAGCTCTCACGCCCACAGAGCCAGTTCACCCACACCCTTGCCAACAGGGTCAGTGCTACTGTTCTGCCCAGGCAAGGAGCAGGGCCCACTCTCCTGATACTGCATGTGGCAAGGGGCAAGTGGGGAGAAGGTATATCTCCCTTACCCACAGCAGCACACAGCATATGAGGGATGAGTCCAGCTCTCCTGCTCCCACACCCTCAGGGCTGGCTCACCAGCTCCCCTGCCTCCAGGGCCAGTCCCACTGTGAGGTACAGGGCTCACTAGCACTTCACCCCGTGAGGGGCAGGGGCAGCTCAGCAGCTCTCCCTAGTGCAGCCTGCAGCCCCCAATGAGGCCAACCCTGTGCAGTCCTTGGATATCGTGGTCCCAGGCAGCAGACCAGGGACATCCACATGGCCTTTGGTGGTAACATGGGCCATGGACATCATCACAGACCCGGACCTGACCTTCAGTGGCAGCAAGGGTAGGGACTTCACCATGGCCCAAGGAAGCCGCTCACATCAGGCTGTCCCTCTCCACCCTCGGGTCTTCTTCCTGCCCACTCTACGTGGTGGTGGGTGGGGGTTCTCAGTGTCTTCAAGCATTTGTCCAACCAAAAGCTTCCAAAGGAAATATATCTCTGGCCAAAATTGGGCAATACAGTAAAACCAATTCAACACAGAGTCGTGCAGTCTCATGAACTGCCACCACAGCCAACTAGAGGGATCGGCAGAGAGGCCAACGATGAGAAGTAAACACGGCAGGCCGTGCCCAGTTGTGGGTCTCCATTCTGCAGGCACTGCTCCTCTACCTGGCTACGATGCATTAGCATTAGGGGCAGCCCCTGCTTCCATTGTCAGGAGTCACACAAGTAAAACAAGCTACACAACTGTCAACTGTCATACGTGTGTGTGTTATATGTATGTATGTATGTATGTATGTATGTATGTATGTATGTATGTAGAGGTTCTAGGCCGGTCACATGTAAGCTCTCTGATTGTTGGTTCAGACTCTGTGAGTTCCTATGAGCCAAGTTAGTTGTTTCTGTGGGTTTTCATACCCAAACATGTTCAATCATACCACAAGACACTTGCTCAACTATGTTCACAGCATTTTTATTAGTAATAGCCAGAACCTGCAAACAACCTAGATGCACCTCAACCAAAAAAAAAAAAAATGGATAAGGAAAATGTAGTACGTTTACACAATGGAGTATTATTCAGCTGTTAAAAATAGACATCATGAAATCTGCAGGCAAATGGAAGGAACTGGGGTAAAAAAAAAAAATCCTGCGTGAGGTATGTACTCTCTCATAGGTGGATACTGGCTGTAAGTAAAGGATACCCAGGCTACAATCCACAGACCCAGAGAGACCAGGTATAAGGAGGGCTCAAGGGGGGACACATGGATCTCTCTGGGGATGGAAATAAAAAAGATCTCCTGAGTGGG